TCAGCTGTTTGGACTCTCATTCTGACAGCACCCATTCACTGCAGAGCATCCATTGCTGAGACACTGATGCAATGCTGCATTTCTCCAAATCTGATGAAGAAACAAACTCATCTACATCTTGAATGGCCTGAGGGTGAGCACATTTTAGCTCATTTAAATTTTTGGCTGAACTATTCCTTTATAGAAGAGAGGAGTTTTGTTACAGTCACTCAGTTGTTCGTTCGTCTCAATAGTTGGGCTGTTAGAAGTGGCAAAGTACGTCCTCTCTCTCTCTCTCTCTCTCTCTGTTATGTTACTTAAAGTTGTGCTTATGAAAGTATATATATCTTTTCAAATCTTCATGTCAGTTGAGTTTGTATTTGGCGAGGCCAGCCAAGTCTTTCTCTGAGCTGCCCCAGAGGTGGAAAGTTGAGGCGTAGCACAAGCCCTCCATTATGTTCATTCTATTTTCTCTCTCCCTCCCCATTTATGTGGAAACCATTTCCAATTTGTCTCGCTGCTCGCGTTGCCTGGCCTGTCACAGGAGGATCCTTTTATGATAGATGTGGTTGCCACGGCGACCCTGTTCTCCGGAGGGAGGGGCCTCAGTCATTCGCCGTCGCTATCTTAAGAAACTGTTGCTAAAGGACTGTTCTGTTTTTTTCTCTGGGATCATGAGAGGATGAAGGACCTTTCTGAAGTTTTCTGTTTGTTTACATGAGTGTTTGGTGTGCTTGACGCGTGGGCGTCCTGCTGTGTGTCGTCCAGATGTTGCCGGTGCACGTGTTTGAGAGCGTAGGGAATTGACATGATGCTTCACCGCCTCAATAGTCGTCTGCAGACCGTTCCTGATAGAGGAGGGACGCTCTAACAGCCTCTGCTTTCCTCTGGAACCGATTCCTTCACATACCGTCGCATTCAAGCTCTCCTTCAGGTCCTCTTTAGCGTTTTTTGTGTCCGTTCTCTTGTACGACAGATGGTTTTTCTTACCTATGGCGGTGGCTTGTGTTTCCGGTGTGTGCGGTAGTTAACGGGTCTGTCTTGGCATCTTTGTTCTAGGATGTTTTTCTTATGATCATGGGCTGTGTGTTCTCCTTACCGGAGGACCGGCTGGTCGCCATCGATAGGTGAGTGTTTGCTGAAGTAGTGCCTCTGGTTCTCAGTCCTGGTCCTGGATGAGTCAGACACATTTTGTATGATCTTTCAGATGGTTCACATCATCATTAATGAACTGAACTGAGTGAGTCAGAAGAGACAGACGTGCAGAATGTGCTCTGCTCCCGCAAGATTGAGAAAGAATGAGCAATGAAGCTAACATTTGTGTGTCTGTTTGGTCTCCATACAGGCACATTTTGCTCAAGTACACAATAAAAAACATAATTACTACATTTTTCAACAGCAGCTTGGTTGAAAGAACTATTTTTATTATAAAGCAAGCTTTGATTGTATAACATAACATCATTGCTCTATAGAAATAAATTGAGCCCGCATCGTATTTCATGGCAAAAAGTGCTGATGATTTTCTTTCACCATTAATGAAAGAGTTATTATCATTCTCTTGTTTAATAGAGAATAGTATCCTTAAAACACTGCTGTTTCCCATTTAAAAACTGAGTTCAGCAGCAGTTTTCACTCATTAAAACACACTATTCACATCCTTGTGCAATAGTTGGCCGTGAGCCCAGAGTTTTTACAAAGTGAAAAGTCTCTCACGCTTTTTCTATTCACTGAACTCTCTTGAACTCTTGAACAATTGTGTTTTAACGTCTGTGTGAGTGTGTGTGTGAGAGAGAGAGAGCTGATGTAAAGATGGAGATTTTTCCAGATGAAACTGAAGAATTGCAAACTTCGGTAGCACTTTAGTATAGGGACCAATTCTCACTATTAACTAGTTGCTTATTAGCATGCCTATTATTAACATATTGGCTGTTTATTAGTGCTTATAAAGCACATATTCTACATGACCATATTCTACATCCATAATCCTTACCAATACCTAAATTTAACAACTACCTAACTAACTATTAATAAGCAGCAAATTAGGAGTTTACTGAGGCAAAAGTCATAGTTAATGGTTTGGTAATAGCGAGAGTTGGACCTTTAACATAAAGTGTGAGCAAAACGTCTCCCAAAGTGCTTTGTTCTTGAATCTCAGTGTGAAGGCACATAAGCGTAAATAGAGGTGGATGAAAGTTGATTGAATGCTTACTGCTTATATATGCTATTACTCTGAAATTACTATTATTTTCTGTATTATTCCTATTTATTCTTTAACATTTATTACCTTTTGCATAATCCTTTTTACAATGCTTTTAGTGAATTCTCTCATGTTTTAAATTTTTAGCATTCAGATTAACATTCATGTGAAAGTTTGCAGTGACATATTTTTTCTTATTAACAACAGCATTAAAAGAAACCAACAAACAGATTAAATTAAAACAATCTCAGTTTTCCATGCCTATATGGCAAAAAATCTTTAGAAATAGTTGAAGTTAAAACTATACATGTATATGTATACAACTATACATCACATGTGAACTCATTGATACAGCTGCTAAAAATGCTTATGTAGCTGAAGACGTGATGTTTCTCTGGATATTGGTGCTTCACACAATGACAATATACAAATTACAGTATTTTTGCCTCAGACAATGAAGGGGCCAATCAGTTTTCAGCTGGGGCCAATGCGTTGTTACAAATTAAATTATCATTACATATTAAATAATCAGCATATCAATTTAAGCAAGAATAACTTGAGAATGGCTTCTTGGTATGTCTTTTTTTATTTTTTAAACATAACCGACTGTTTTTGTAACTCATGTGTTTTTAACACAGACTTGTGTGTATTTGACAGTTTACATGAAAGAGAACTTAGTTTAGTACTCAAATGCCGTGTGACAGCCGCTTTCTGTGCGTGTGCTTCAGATGTGTGCGCTCAGAAAACCCTATATAAGAAGATTAAACTGATATGCCTTTAAAATGCATGATTTCAGCATGATAGACATGTTTTTGGCAGGTCCGAGCTGTAATGGCGCAGCTCTATTCTGAAAAGGGGGCCAGGGAGCAGCAGCTTATTTGCATTTAAAGAGACATGCACGAAAACAGCCGGTTTCTGCTTCAACTCAAAATAGGCGTTTTCTAAATGATATAATAAATTATCTGTGGGGTATTTTGAGCTGAAACTTCACAGACGCATTCTGGGAACACCTGAGACTTGTATTACATATTGTAAAAAGGGGCATAATAGGTCTCCTTAAGTCTCCTCCATTTAAACTTGGGTGTAAATGATGATAAATCTATTGAGAAGAGCTACAGATGCAGTGTTTTACACTGATTTCAGAAGTGCTTGAAACATCAGTTTTTGTTTTATTTTTTATTTTTTGTCAATATTTGTTTGCATGATCATTTATAATGTATTTGTTAGTAACCCTTTTTGATGCATGACCTCTGTTAATCTGTGTTTTGTAGGCCTCAAACAACCAGAGAAACCAGTTTTATTGGCAAAATGAAGAAAACGGTAAGAGATTTTTACCCTCCTCTTCCTCCAGTAGAGGTTGAAATGTTACAATTATCAAACAAAACCGGCCGTTAAACAAATCTTTTTTTTTTAGGCAGTCAAATGGTAAAATATTGTAACTAACTGAATTGGCTGAAAAAAGTTGTAACTGAAACAGACTGACCGGCTGCGTGTTTAGTTTTTCAAAGTAAGCCAAAATGTTTACATCAAAAATATGCAAAAAATGCTGCTGGTGTATAAAGTCTATAAATCGGTGCTCTTTGGATGCAGGATTTCTAAATTCATCAAAAAACAAATCACTCCGAGGCACTCGAAATTATAGTGAACAACATTAAAAAGCCTTTATTCATATGGCTTTACATTAAAAGCAACACCTTTTTGTTGCTATTGTCATTGCTATATGCTATTGTCATTTGTGTACATAAAGTAATGACTTTAATATTTCCTCTAGGGCAAGAACATCGTGGTGTTTTACGGCTCACAGACGGGCACGGCTGAAGAGTTTGCCAACAGACTTGCAAAAGATGCTCATCGCTACGGCATGAAGGGAATGGCAGCGGATCCAGAGGAATATGACATGGTAATACATGCGATGGGATGAAAACTGGCTCTTTATTCCTCTCCCGTTTGTGTTTGTTTACACACGCTTTTATTTGCAGAGTGAGCTCTCCCGTCTGACTGAGGTTGAGAACTCGATAGCGATCTTCTGCATGGCCACGTATGGAGAGGGAGACCCGACCGATAACGCTCAGGACTTCTATGACTGGTTACAGGAGGGCGATGCCGACTTCAGTGGAGTTAAATATACAGTGAGTTCCTCATCACGGCAATTACGTGATTATAGTAAGGGTAAAATTCCCTGAAAATGTGCTCACCCTCAGGCCATCGGAGATGTAGATGAGTTTTTCTTCATCAGATTTGGAGAAATGTAGCATTGCATCAGTGTCTCAGCAATGGATGCTCTGCAGTGAATGGGTGCCGTCAGAATGAGAGTCCAAACAGCTGATAAAAACATCACAATAAAACACCACTCCAGTCCATCAGTTAACATCTGGAGAAGACAAAGCTGTGTTTTTTTTTTACTTCAAAGCGTTGCTTTCAGCTAAAAATGAGTCTATAATTCATAATGTTGCTTTCTTTTTCACTGCAGGAAGCGTTATTATAGATTATGGAAGTGACGGTTTAACGTTAAAACATGTTAATGATGGATTAATTTCTTACAAACACACAGCTTTTGTCTTCTCCAGATGTTAACTGATGGACTGGAGTGCTGTGGATTACTTGTGGATTATTGTGATGTTTTTATCAGCTGTTTGGACTCTCATTCTGACGGCACCCATTCACTGCAGAGCATCCATTGCTGAGACACTGATGCAATGCTACATTTCTCCAAATCTGATGAAGAAACAAACTCATCTTCATCTTGGATGGCCTGAGGGTGAGTAAAATTCAGCAAATGTTCATTTTTGGGTGAACTATTCTTTTATTCTTTTTAAAAGAAAACCATTCTTTTCATTTAAGCAGTTGTCGAAGCACTTTGTGAGGTTTTTAGACTTTACCAAATACTCCAGGAACAATGTGTTTCTAATACGTTAGGTGCTTTCCGACGTACGCTTGAGCAAACAAGACCCATGATGCAGTGCAGCAGAGCAAAAGTGAATCTGGGGAATGCTGTGTCATACTTCCACAAGCCAAAGTCTCAGACAGCTTTCTCAACGTATACTACACTGACATTGTGCAAAGTTCAGTGACTCAGTGTTTAAAGAACAGTGAGGCCACATGTTTAGCAGAAGTGCTCACTACAGATATGGCTGAGTGACTTCTGCATAAGTGGATTTAGAGGAATAGTGCATCCAAAATTAACATTCTTTCAGTATTTACTCGCCTTCAGATCATTCCTAACACATATGCTGTCATTTTTATATTGAATACAAAACCTGCATTTTTGTTCATATAGCAACAGTGTTTGCTCTGTCAAGCTAAAAAAAAAAAAAGTAAATATAACACTATAAGCACTAAAATTCTAGTTCACATATCATGAATTTAAATGAATCTTACAGGGTTCCCACGCTTCTTGAAAGTACTTGAATTTCAGACATATGGATTCAAGGCCTGGAAAGTACTTGAAAACAAACATAGGTCCTTGAAAGTGCTTGAATTAAATTTGAAATAAATTTTGTTTATGCAGGGATTAAAGTTTTCCGTCGCTACGACGGATTTCCGTCAATTGGAAAAAAAAAATGAGGGGAAAAGAAACATGAAGCGCATTGTTTTTGTTGTTCTGCCGGCACACCAAAAATCATTCCCGGCCACGTCTGCAGCTTCTCAGTGACAATATAGTGACGCCGCTTGCATCATTCTCAGTCGGGTTATTAGCAGAGAACACAGAGCAGGACTTGAATTTCGGCGTGGGATTGCGGCTATTAATAACAATTGTACTCTTGCCCGCAGGTTCCACGCTTATAACGCGATGACAGATGACGGAACGTATCATTTGCACGTGCTTTTGAGTCTTGAGAACTCGCTCGCGCGCTCTCATTTTCTGTGCGCCCACAGATCGCGATAAGGAGAGTGACAGCTTTTAATAATTATTAAGGGAGTTTGCAAATGTGATATTGATTCAATACAACAGTTCAGTAAACAAGTACTGCCTGATTTTGCTCTATTTCTTCAACGAAAATAGTTCCAAATATAGTAACAGCTCAGCCACTTCGCATCTCTAAAAGTTTCATTCATTCAATGAAAGTGCGTTTTTGGACGAATCTAGTGAGTCAGTGATTCATGATTACCCATTCATAAAGACATTCACTTGCTTCATTCCTGAATTAATCAGCAGTTCGAACGAATCAATTGAATGAATGATTCAGTGATAAAATCAGTGACTTTTCGCCACCTGCTGGCGGATTTAGTTTAATTTTTAGAGTATAATTTCAGTTATTTAAATCATTTAATATATCTGTATTCAAAATTTTATATTTAAAACATTAATCTCCACATAAATGTATGAATTTAATTGCACTCATGCCACCTCTGAGTCTCATTAAACGTCTGAAAATGTACCTGCAAGCCACTTTTGTGTTCTTCTGTGCCATTAATTTTTTATTAATACTAATTTCATATGATTGGTGACCTATTTGTCTTATTATACTTCTTATTGTATTGTTTTAAATAGAAATTTTAAAAAGCTTATAAACATACATTTTTG